TAGCTCTACCTGCAGCACACGGAGTAGGCATCACTTTCCTTGCTGTGGGTTACCTGCTACCTGTACACCGACAAGTAAAAAGAGAAGTTGCAATCAGATGTTTTTTAAAATGGTGTTCTTCATAGCTTTTCCCTAGCATCTTAAACCAGGAAAGAGAGAAATTGGCTTAATATAAAACTGCAGAAAGCATTCAGCATGGCTAATGGTGTATGAATATGTAAAGTGTACACTAGTTAAAACCTATTGTGATTATTATTTGATACATTAAGTGACATATATAACAATGTCTTCTTTTACTTAAGTTGAACAATAAACAGAACTATTCATTGCTTTAAATTGTAGATAGATTGTCACCTACCATTTCTCTGTTTCTTGCAGCCAAAGCCTTTCTTTAACCAGAACAGGTAGCCGTTACCATTTGTACAGGCAGAAAAAGGTATTTGACAGTCTTCATTGGTGTGTGGGGCAAGTGAAGCATCTTATCGCGTTATTACCCTGAAGGGCAGCCTTACTGCTTACAGTTAGCTGGGGAGCTCAGTAGATTCCCTCTGTAGCTGCATTTTGGCGGCACGCTACTTGGATTGGATTGTTTTTTGAATTTCAGCCTTGAGAATACAAAGCTTAAAACATACAACTAGCTATGGGCCAGAAGCAGTTTAACTTATAGTAGTCAGGTGTATGCAGTGTTCTCGCAAACCAGTGATGTAAATGTGCCTTTCTGTATTTTTAGAAACTTAAATTTATAATCTTTAGCAACATTCACTTATTTTAAGCAGCTTCTACTTCTCCATTTAATTTTTTGGGTCAGAGTTATGTTCTCACTTCAGTATTTCCTTTCAGTACCATTTGCTCTATAACATTAAGGTCTTGGGCAACAGTATCTATCCAGCACGGTCCATTTGAGACACGGGCATGGGATCACAATGCAATCAGGTCAGTCTTGTTCTCGCAGCAGGTGGTGATAAGGACTCAGCCATATGCTTTGCTGGAACGAATACATTGTAAATCCCTTCCTAATTTAACTTTCTCCCACTGCAAACCCAGATGGACAGTATGAACAGTTTGTTGTGGCAACACAAGTATTTCTCTTCCTGGTGGAGAACTTTGCTTATCCACTGTATTCTATTCAGTGTGGTGTCAAAAAAAAAAAAAAAAAAAAAAGTAACTGAGCACTGAACCAGTAACATATACTGCACCTGGCCTAGTATTACATTTTTAACCTTACTTGTATATCCTATATTTATCTACTAGCTTGTGGGAGGGGGGGGATATCTCATTTCATTTAAGCCAAATGTTTCTTTTCTACTTACTGCTGATCATAGTACACACTAACTGGCAAGATTTTTTTTCTTGCTCGTGACTGCTCTGCAAGCAACAACCGCTCTCTACAGTTCAAAGATTTGCATATGTTTCACCAAAATTTGTCTGATCAAAGGTTGTCCTTTTGTTAGTAATTGTTTAGACACGTATACAACTGGAGGCAAGATCTACATAAAACCGCAAAATGTCCAGCTCTCAGAATACAGATGCTTTAGCGTGTTGTATAGCGAGCTGTTAAGTGCAGCGTTATCCCAAACTCTAAGGCACTTACAAGCAGAGCTCCTTCTCAATGTAAATTCAGAAGGCGCTTTCCAGACGGTAACAGATGTCAGTGAGAGAGGGAGAGTTTACAGCTTTCAGACAGGCAGGGTCAGTGGACTTGTATCAAAAGCAGGAGGCCATTTATAAGGATTTTGCTATATCAATGGAAAGCGTAACACGTGGCGTTCAAAAGTTTCCCCAACAATGTTTCATTACTGATGTGTCTGTGTCTTACTGATGAGGTAATCAATCAGCACCTTGAAAATTGATTCCAATGTGCTTTAGGATATCCTCAAGTACTGTAGTGCCATAGTTGTAATTGTTTACCATTAAAATCTAGTGTGTAATTTTCAGTGAGGATTACTGACTGTGCTCATCTTGTGTGTTTCTGGAGCATTTCCAGGTTGAATGTGAATTATATCTCATTCACGCAGTGTGTTTATGGAAAATGTGCCATTAAAGTGTCTCCTTTCCTTAGAAAATGAAACTCCTTTTGTCTTTCTGCAGGCTTGCAGAATATCATTAGTGTAAATCCTTTGAACATGGATGGCAGAGTATTTTTACATATTCTGGGGAAAACAAAATAAAGCAAATTGAAGCGTTCCCACTATTTAACACCTCTACCAAAACTTAGCAATCTGAACCCAAAGAGGACCTGCCCTTCAATTTTAGAGGGCCTTATCATCCAATGGCTGTTAATTTTTATGTCAGATCATGGCGTGTGTCCTCTGTGTGGTTAAAGCGTCCATCCCAGCAATGGTAACCTTGTCATTCAAGTTTGCTTGTGGGTTGGGTTTTTTTTATAACTAATATTCCTGTATTTACTACAACTCTTGAGCAGTCTCAACTATTTAAACCTGCTCAAAAATGAAGGTAAGTTCTGAAAAGGAGGAATGGGACAGAGTTGACAAATACTAGTATGACAATGAAGAACGACAACTGCTGGCACACCCTTTAAGCTGCTGTTTTCCAGTGAGTGGCTTACCTGGTATGTGAAATCATCTATCCTTCTTTTCCCTTTTGTGGCTTCTTAAAGTACTCATGCCACTGTCCAGAGCCTGTTTCTGAGCGTGGGTGGGGAGCAGGAACCTCCTCCTCATTTCAAAGAAAAGATTCAATGACAAAGGATATAAACCCAAAAAGACCAGCAATGGTTAAGCGCAGCTTACCATATATAATAGAAAATTACTAACTCTAAAGAATTAAACAGATCCATAATTGCCATTTTTTGAGTCACGATGTGTAAGCATACACATCACTCAAGCACAGATAAGAAACTAAAATAATTGTTGCAGACAGCAAACGGATTTCAAATCCTGTTTTTCAGAACTGAATTTCAAACTGCATTTGCAGGGTAGAAGGAAGAGATGGACTTTGGTCCCACTCAGCCCCGTCATATTGAAACAAACGCAAATGCATAGGTACATAAAATCTCCCGGCTACTAAAAATGTGCAAGCCACTTCAAAAATTCCTGCAGGTCTGTTTTTCTGTTAATATCTACTAATTAGTTGAACATAACATAAAAGTTATAGGGCTGTTCATTGTTGCTTTTAATTCTAACTTGCATTTCCTCTAGGCTTTATTTTTCTTCTAGGAGAAACTTTCTCCAACAGTTTCTGCCTTTACTGGAAAACAAACACTTTTACTCCTAAAAATTCTGTACGTACTTTTCCCACCAAACCTGCCAAGGCTATGGTAACAGAACTGAAAAAAACAACATAAACAACAAAAGAAAACTTGTAAAACTCAAGCTAATAGAAGACTTCTATTAAAAGCACAAGCCTAGGAGCAGCTAAGCATAGACTTGCAGTTCCCATGCCTGCCTTCCTGCCTCTCATTACTTTCCTCATGCAAAAGGTGGGGAAACAGCTAGCTTTGTTTATTCAAACAACAGCATGCAGAAAACTGTCCCTTAGTCGGAGGCTTGTAAATTGAAGCTGCAGACTTCGTGTGCTTTAAAGCACCCTTTCAACTTGTTTTGCAAGCTGTAAATTAAAGTTGATAATCTAATGTCAGTCATTGAACATGAAGCAAAAGCGCAACCTTAGAAAAAAAATCAATAAACAAATCGAGGCTACAATTGTTGTACACTGCAAAACCAAACTTCTAGGAAAGCCAAATCCTCCAAACTTGAGAGGCTGGCGAAGCTACTCCCTGCAGCTGTAGCTACACCCCCTGACCCAGGTTCAGTAACTCAGCACAAGAACTTTGCTAAGCTTCAGGAGTGCCTAAAAGGAAAGAAATCCCTTTTAAGGAAGCATTTCGTGACAGTGAAGTGCTGCTATTCCACATGCCCATTCCATTCCCTTGTAGAAACAGAACAGCAGTTTCATGCATGCATGTTTCTTTTCCTTTCCCTGTTCTTAGCTTCGGCACCAGTTGTTGGCTAAAAATAAACACCATTCCACAACCATATATGTGCAACAGCCTTCTGGTGATTCGGAGCCCCCTCCAGCACTGCTAGTCTCCCACAAGGCCAGGAGACTGTCTTCTTTCTAACACGCTCTGATCGGCTATGCATATAACCCAGCTGAATCGGGAATGCCTTTTACATCTGTTTTCTTTTCTGGACAAAAATAGTAGGAAAAGTTTAGCGAAAACATGTCACAAGTTGCTAGAAGTGTTTCAGGATCCTTTACTGTGGTCTTTGTTGAACTTTCATTCTCCAGCGGAACTAAAGAAGGATAATTTTCTCCTGGGACCTGCTTTAAAATACTTATCCATCTGCTGGTATTCAGAGAGAGTCAAGGTGTGTAACATTGAGGACTGGATGAAAAACAATTTCCAGAAAGACTTCTGTAACAGGCATGAAAACACTGTCAATGATTTTTTACTAGAAGTTTGCAACAGGTACGTTCTTTGGGTGTGAAACTCTACATCTACTGTAAAGGTTAACTGCCTTGAAATGACAGAATTGAGAGCTGTTTACTCCATACATCCTGCAGGAAATGGAGCACTAACTCCGTGAGTGCTTTGGCTTTGCAGTTTTAATATAGTATTAAGTTGGTTTTATAGTGTCAATAGTGTATACTTCATATTAACTTTCCTTAAGCCTATTTTTTTCCTTCTTTTTTTTTTTTTTTTAAGAATGAATAATTAACATAGGAAAGTGCAATACTGCCTACTAAACTGCTGCTTAACTGAAAGGTACCATTCGAGCAGTGCAAAGCATTCTCCTGTGGGGGGGCCCAGAAGGAAGACGTGATTTCAAATAGTGAATATGTCATAACAAAACCAAGTTCATTAAACATGTTACTAGAAATAAGTATTGCTTTTACACTGAAGTTCAACTCTGCCTAAGCTTTTTATAAACTACAGTAAAGGAAAAGAAATACCGCTGTGGAAAAGCAGCTCTGGGTGCAGACCCTTAAACAGCTTTACTGCTACAAAGCAGCTCTAAGAAAAGTAAAGTTAAATTACATTAGGAGGGGCAAAGAGGTTGGAGCCAATCCTAGTGTTTTAGTAACACCGAGGATGGCTGTGGTCCTAGACGAGAGCTGAAAGGGGCAGGACAGTGCCTGTCCTCAAACGGCGCACCTTTGTACCGCAGCCAGCCTTCAGCTTTTGCTGCAACATGGAAAGCAAAAAAGTTCCATTTGGAAGTAATAATTAAAAAACCTCAACAAATTACAGGATACTGACAGAACACAGTGTCTTGGTGAGAACCAGCAACAGTGCCATCTCAAAACAAGGACTGAAATGTAGGTTCAAAACAGAACATTTAAGTTGCAAGTACAAAATTTCAGAAGTAACTGTTCTAGAACAACTGTTAAAAAATTTGGATTAATTAGCGAAGTATCATTAGGAAGCACATCTGTGCCTACAAAGGAGGGTGTAGGAGGAAGCATTTCTCTGATTCTGGCACTGGAGGATCCACCATGAGGCCACACTTAACTAGTCCCATCTTTTGGCCAGCACAAATTAGGATTCAGAAAGAGGCTGCAAGACCACAGCTCTGCAGAAACAGTTTCAGTGCCTTTCTCTGCAGAATTCGTAACCCCAAACTGGTTGCTGCACAAAATTCAAAGCAAAGCCTGAGTAGTAAGCAATCTCAAAGTTCATAAAAATTCAGCAAATGCCTTTCAGCCTTACATGAATTTGTTTCCAGAAGTTAAACTGAACTCTTAAAAATGACAGTTTATATTGACACTCACCCCACCTCCATTTTAGCCTTCCTAAGCCAAGTTCCTGCCTTCTTTTTTTTGCAGCAACCCGTTGAACGCATTTCCATCCAAACAAAATTCTTAGCATTCTGTGCAAAGAATAATGCAAATTAAACAACTATCCGGCTTTTCTCTCTGAGTTTGGAGTACTTTTATTTTGTTGACAAAGCCACAAGAGATGGCAGGTTGGAGCCTCCCTTGTCCCTGCCTGCTGTAAAACATTTATTTTTCTAACTGTTCATAAGTGTAAAGGAAAAGAGTAAAAAAAAAAATAAATAACCATGCAGCTGACATGATCTCACTTTATTACCTCCGCAAAAGCTGAAGTTATGCAGCAGCAGGGGATGGAGGGGTGGGGTGTAGAGAAAGAGAGGGCAGCTTTTAAGGACAAAAGAACACGCTGCAGTGATGGCAAAGCCCCTTGTTTGCCTCCACGCCTGCTGTACACCTAAAACCCCAATACAGGTTGTAAGCACAAATCTTTGTATGGAAGTGCTTACTGTACAGGTCTCAGAGGATGGAGGCAGGCCAATAGTTCTGTCCAAAGGTCTCACAAGGTCAATGTTAGCATTGCTGTAATCATTCTCCCTGCAACAACGGAGCCTAAGGAAGTCCTGTGCTAATAGAGGAACATTAAGCTGCATTTAGCCAAGCAGATGGGTGGCTGAACTGCAGGTCCCTGGAGGGAGGTGTAAGCCACAAACCAAACACTGTAGAGAAGAAGGCTTTGCAGGCTGATGCACAAGGGTCCGTGCAAATGTGCCTGGAAAGCACAACAGGTAGTAGTAACTGGTCTGCTCCAGTTTTCTGCACAAGGACAGTTAGTATAAGTCATCAACACACTGACCTGGAATAGTCCTTTTCCCAAGTCTACTCAAGCAACAAAAAAGAAAGCTTTTTTCATTTGCTGCATCACTGTTTAACAGTTATGTTCTTACCAGTTTCAATGATTTGAAGGAAGGTGTAAGAGTTGTGTGAGGTTCAAGCATCACCACTCTTAGGTGCCGGCGCCTATTCAGTAAATCCAAGGAGCTGAAATACACCCATTAATCCCTGTAAAATCAAGTCTTACTTGCCCATGCTCGGCATGTCTACACAGCAGCCTCTTCACTCAATTGTCCTCAAATTCATCCAGACTTGAATCTCATCATTACTGGGTCTTCATTCGCCACGCCTGGAGAAGTACAGCACCATGCACCTCCTTAAGAACAAACAATGCAGCTGCAGCTTAAGTAGGCATCTGCCTCCCCTTCTCCCCTATGCCAACTGAGCTATAAATATTGCTACCAACAGAAAAAGCAAAGAAGGTAAGTTTTGCAATTAGTAAAGCTGAACGATAAGATCTACATATGCTCCCGCCTACTCATGCATTCTTGCCCCTCCTGATGGAAGAGGAGGTATTTTTCTAACTTTTATATTTATTCTTGACGATACTAGCTTCTCCCAAGCTCTATTATTTATTTTTCCCCTCATCTCACCTGTAACGATCATGTTTTCAGATGTCCAAACCTGCTATCTCTGACCCTCTCTGGATGCGGCCATGTGACAGACGAGTGCATCTCGCTGCTTCTCAAGAACTGCCCAAACCTCAAGATACTCAAACTGGAAAACTGTGTGCGGATCACTGACCAGACACTAGAAGCAGTCACCCTCTATGGGGGATCCCTGCAAACGCTCCACGTGGATTTCTGCCGGAACATAACACAAACTGGTCTAGAGAGAGTCAGGGAAAAACATCCTTCGGTAATGCTGAGAGCAGAGAGAAGTGCTAACATGATTCCAGACAATAAGCCAGAAAAAAAGCTGATGCTTGAAAAAGCATCAAGAAAATTAGTTCTGCTTTAAGTGCAACAAATTGTATAAACTCAGTTGTGGGTGTTTTACTCCACTCCCACTCCCCTCTTGGATAGTATTGGTTCAATGAACTGTAGCTACTTTCCTGCATTCTGGTTTAAGTCCAAACGGTTGGTTGATGTTTTGTAAAGGCCGCACTAGGAAAAAACATGCATCTCCACCAGGACAGTCTTAAGGAAAAACCTGTTTGCTTTCTGTTGTTCCTTGAAACTGGAAAACCCTGCATTGCTGTCACATAATGCTAGACCTGATTAAAGCTGAAAACTGCAATTTTGACACCCTGTTGTCCTGGATGAGCGGAATGCACCTCACTTAGAAGAGAAGCAGAAGTATGTTTCATTGAGGTAAAATAATAATTTGACAGAGTTGAATAAATTCAATGGAGTTTAACAAAGTTTAACAGTGGTTTGATGGCAAGGTTCGCCTTATTAATTACTGCATGGAAGAAACATACAAAGGGAAATTGAGTTAAAATTGAGTTAGAATGATTGACACAGAGACCCAAGATGCAAAGAGTAAGGAGGACCCTCCCGCTGAGCCACGAGGTTCAGAGTGGACTTCCTCCCTTTCTGAACTCCCTATGTAATGGGAAAGGGCGTAAAACCACAGCTGATAGAGCTTGGGTCGTTGTATGATTTACACAAATTTCAGGGAAGGAGTGATTAACAGATTTCTGTTAAAGGATATATCCATGTGGCCATTCCATCCGCTAAGGGTGATAACCATGCCACATAAGATCTTCCTAGCACAAGCAGAGTACCTGACAACCATCACTTCCTCAGTTCTTAAATGAGGGATGCACAGCAATGTGTGCAAAATGCCGTTTGACCCTTTGCATAATGTACTTTGACAAGATACACCAAGTTATTTTTTAAAGTTGACATTAAAGGAAGCACAGTCTGAACAAGTGCTAGTTTACAGAACTAACCTACAAGAAAAAGCAGTGACTTACAGCCTGTAGCTTTAAATGCTAAATTAGGAACACACCACAGTAGAGATCTTCATAAACACCCACTTCTCACTGCAAAGTACAAAACAAATCGCTATTTTCATCCCAAACCGCAAGGCTGTCACTTTCCTGCATGCTGCTCTGCTACATGGAAGTGAAACAGTTTTTTTAATGGTTGCTATGGGACCATCTACAAAATTTGACACCAAAGGTTGGCACAGTTTTATTCCGCTATATAAAAGTTGCCTTAATACAACTGGGATTTGATCGTGGTATTGAGTACAGGGGACTGGTAACATCACATTCCAAGACTCTTCACGCACTTACAGATTTTTGCCCGACGACAGGTAAACATTTCTGAGTGCCATCTTACTGTGTCAACCGTACTGCAGTTACCGGTCAAAAGTTGTACTTGTTGAGTCTCTCAGTATAACCACACAGAAAAATCATTGTGATCGCCTAGTTTGAATTCTTCAGTTTTTTTAAAAAGTACCCCATCTCAAACCCTGTGCTTTACTCTATGTGGGAGCATGTCCTCAAATTCCGCCTTCCCTTATTTTCCATTTTGTTCAGCAATTTTGACAAGAATTCAGACTCCTAGAGAGCACCTCATAATATAGCATATTCTGCCCATTCTTGCCGACTCTGCAGCTGAGCTTGTATTTACCTTAAACCTCTCTCCCATTCAATACAATCCACTGAATAACTTTATGTTTACAAAAAATGACAGATGGTTAAATCTGGCTATCGATAACTTAGTTTCCCCTAGAGCACCAGATGTCAGTTCAGCTTGATGTCAAACAGAAGGCCACATACAGACCAGTTTGACAAACTATGGATTCTGAATAGTTCCAGCTTAAATCATAATGAAGTCTACAGCAGTTTTGATTTCATTTTAAATTAAAATCTTACACAGAGCAGAAATACCCGAGTGCGTGTGGCCTTAAAATTAAAGTAAATTTAGAAATATTAGCTTTTGGAAATACTGTTCTGTCCCATAACGACAGTCAATATTTCTATTCCATTACATAACAATTATCCAAGACTTCGTCACTACAGCAATCTATGTGCATATACCATAGCAAGCCTGTTTCTCATTTACATGAGGGGCTCTGCAAGTGTTGATAACTAATCTTACTGCACTGGTAACACACCACCGGTGAAATCTACTAGTTAAAAACACGTGAACTGGAACTTGCATCCCTGGAATTCAAGTATATCAAGACTATTACGGTTTAAAATAATGCGATAGCTTTGTTGCATTTTAACAGTTATCTACAGGTTTAGCTTTGCAGACTTACTACTCGTCTGCATTTTAATCTTTTATAGAACTGGAAGACTACAAGACCAAGCTTTTCCTCTAAGGAACAGAATTTGTGACTTCTTAAATTGCTGTTTAATAAATTATTAAAGGTTGTCACAAATATCTAACATGATACCTTTTTTTTTTCTGTAAATGTGGAGAACAGTGTGACTGTAGTAACTCTCTACAAAAAGAATGCGTGAAGAACTACTGTTGAAGGGAAGCAGACCTTTCCCCCCCCTCTTGTTGGTACCTAAACTGTAGAAAAAAGTTCTGAAGTTAGGTCTCAATTACTTAGGAATAACTGGTTTGATTTTCCAATTTCTCACTGTATTCTTTTTACAATACTGTTGCTCCTTTTATTAAAGCTGTGTGGCAAAAATGCTTGGGGTGTCGTAACAGAGAACTCAGCTCTGATGCCTCAGGTATTCTTGAAAAAAGATTTATTTCCACTGATATATTGTCTTTTGCTCACCTTTCAACAGAAAGGAAGGAAACACGCTATCAAAATTACACTTGAAGCCAATTTGTACTGCAAGAGTAGTACTGTAAAATTGTATTTCCAATCAGTCTCTCTAGGAAGGTAAGTTTCAAACAGTCTCAGCAGAGATATTTTAATAGACTACATTCCTTTGGCTTATTCTTTCCCCTGCAAGAACTGATGAGCTTAGCTATGAACTCCTGAAAATATTCTTTATGTGGTTCATGAAAAACGGAAAGAGGAATTTACAGCTCTCAACATAAGTTAATATACTTACTCCTCTTTTCCATCCTGGTTAATTGATCCACGGATATCCTTTGGTACTCTCTAATTTGGCTGAGCTAAGAAATCAATCACAGCATTACAGAAACCTAGCCAAACTGAGCTGAAATTCTGGAGAAATACTTGATCAGTACGAGCATCCGTAACAAACACTCGCCCAGAAGATAAATAAATAGAACAATTTAATTACTGCATCTTCACAACTTAGAGATATTTAATGGCATGAGGCTGTAATATTGTAGTATTTCATTAACTCATGTAAGTAGGACCCTTACGCACTACACAAAGGAAGCAACAAAACTGGAAGCACAGACGGGAAGGACAAACAGCAATCCTAAACGAGCATTTACAACTTGCAAAGGAGATTGCCTGACTGAACAAACTTATTGCGATGTGGAAATTGGGATGTTGACACAATTCTTACCTTGGATACACAATTCTTGTATGGAAAAAACTAGTTTCATGTATTGCTGACAAGGCAAAACAAGGTAGGAATTCTATACAGTCACATTAGTAACCAAAGACCTTTTCTTGATGGCAGCTCTCTAAGCACTGTGATGAAAGATTCATCTCTGTAGATGGAACACCAAACAGAGTTTCAAGCAGCTACAGATATGAAAGCGGGTTTGCACCTGTCTACATATTTTTTATGTCTTTTTGCCAGTTTTCTATCAGGACTGTTGGGGGAGGGAGGAGAAGGTGGCGTTGTGGTTTTTGTGGTTCTTTACAGTAAAAAGGGCCTTGGAACACTCTCCCACTTGGCAGAGTCTCCCTATTTGCGTACAAATGCTCAAAGTCATATTACTTTGCTCTTCCCCTTCTTGAATGGGGATATTTATTCATGACATAGTAAAATTTGAATAGGGTTGTATTGATAATTTTTTTCATCATCAATAATACATTTTCTTACTTAGCAATCCAATTTGAAAATTGAGTATATAACGATAACATTTTACTTAAGGTATTATTTAAGGATGGAAGCATGTTAACGGTTTTCTTTAGTTCCAAGCCACTTGAGTTCCATCAAAGTTCTCTTAACATTACTTGAAACATTTTTTACTCCTCACAGACCCCAACTGTAACTTACCGGGTATGGAGGGAGGAAGGTTTGCTATCTATCATTTTATGATAATACTAACAAGAAGGTGACATAAACCAAGATGCCTACTTGGAAGCTGCATCAGGTTATCAGATGCAAGAGGCAAACAAGACTTGGTTATCAAAAGTTTGTGCCTTTTCCTACATAATAGGGGAACAGCGACACCCAGAAGACCCTTCAGATGTCCATTGTGATAACATAGCTCAGCTTGGCAATAAGGTAAAAGGAAGTTAAACAAAGTCCTGCAACACAGTAACATTGTTTATTTACTAGCAGCGGTATTTTTTTGCTGTTAAACTTCATCACGCAGTCAAAAGGGCCAAATGACAGATCTGAATCAAACTCCCAGACCTGGCCTGATCACTTATTCACCTCTCCTCTGGAGAATACTACTGTTCAAGAACACTACTGTTCTGCTCCTACCAGTCCCCTCTAAGCATGACAAATATTCCACCTACCGCGACATTCCAGCTCCGTCAGATGAACCGACACTACTACTGCTAGCTCCAGAAAGAGCGAGGCTTCACCCAGTTCAAGTAACTTGTCTACCTCTAATCTCGGGGACTGGCTGTTCATCTTCTCTCTGTTGTAGTGAGCCTATCTGTTTCAAAGGGCTATCCAGCTGCCCGACAGCCTGACAGCCCAAAAGGTTAGGGATGTATTTCCTAGGTGGGAAAGGGGAAAAAAAAAAAAAAAAAAAAAAAGGTAGGAAAAAGAGCTGGAAATACCAGGGGTGGTAGAGAAGAAATTATCTAACCCCAGGGTAAAAACAGGATAAGAAACAGAAATTATGGTCTTCAAGAAGCAACAGCCTTATAAATCAGAGGCAGTGAGTGCTTCTTCAAAGTTATCTGAGGTGTGAGGAAAAGGTTAGGTA